TTATTATTACTAATACTATAATAGTCATAATCATAATCATAGTGATATGTAATTATGTAGTTACAAATACTAAACAGTTTTTCTCTCAGTGTAGTACATTTATTAATAATTATAATGCCACCAAGAACTCAAATGATCAAAATTAATGTATTCGCTATCTCTAATCATTATTAAATTTATATTTATATAAAAATTTATATTTTTATAAAGATTTATAAAATTATTTTTTTTAATAGGGCCAACCGATATCAATAAAAATTCAATGCGTTGGTCTTACTTTTAGTGGATTATCAGAAGTATTTATGTATACATGGCCAGCAGAACATTTGATTCACATAGTAAGTAATTCTTATAAAGAAAATTACTTTATTTCAATTATAACATTATCGTTTGATATTTTTACAAGAGTGGTGAGATAATTCAACAAGCTGCTTTCGATATGCAGTGGTACAAGCAACCAGTCCCTCTACGAAAATATCTACAAATGATTATGCTAAAGGCTCAAAATCCAATAGTTATCGCAATACCATGCGTTATGCCCGCATTATCTTTAAATTACTATGCATCGGTGAGAAAAGAGTTTGACTATTGTTTTGACTTTGATCATGCACATCAATCATTTGAACAAATCATTCTTTGCAATCCGATACGTAAAACAAGTTATTTCTTGTAATAATTAGTTACATTGGCCGTATATAAATACAGGTTTCAAAATTCGCGCCCGCGAAGTACAAGATGTGATACTTTATATTAAAACAAACAACTGTTTCCTTTAACAAAATTGCGTTCGATAAATAATTTTTGTGCTTATTTGTTAACTTCAACCTGCTCTCCTGCAAAAACTACTTTTCAGACGCAATTTTGCAAAAGAAAAAAGTTGTTTCTTTTAGCATAAAGTATCACATCTTGTACTTCGCGAGCGTGAATTTTGAAACACCCTGTATATGGCAAATATTTTTAAAATTATTAGTCTTCAACTGATAGTTAATAAGTAATAACTAATAATTTATTTTTAAATGCCATATAAGAGAAGTATATATATTTTAAAATCATAGAAAATTATTAAGCAGTCGTGTACTTATTTCCACATACTTTATTTTTTTAGATAACGTTCTCCAATAAATTTCATTCTAATGAAAGACTTCTAATGAATTATATGTTAATATGCATAAATGAAATGTATTATCAAACTTTGTACTAGTTTTGGTCACATTATTTTATTTACACGTCGGTTACTTTTTATATTAATATTTTAGACATAATATTATGATTATAATCTTGTCAAAAATATTTTCGATTTTGTGAGTACATTTGCACGCATGTGCGTGCATCCGGGCACGGAAATATTTTATATAAATTAGTAATGTTTATTATGAATAAATTTATATAACTTTCATAATTTCTTGTTTGTTTACAATTTGTTGAAATTAATTTCATTAAATATTAAGTATATTATTCAATAGATGTTAAGGTGATCATTCTGATACAAGTTATTATTATTATATAGTTAAGAATTATATAATTTATATACACACATAAAATTTTTGTAAAGTAAAAATCAAGAATTATATTAAGTTATTATTAATGTTACAGTATTTATCGACTGTATTTTCGTACTTCACGACACTACGAATAATTATGCAAAATGGAGAAAATGAAGAATAATTTTAAAACATTCTTCTTTTATAATATTGAAGAATTTATAAAATATTATAGTTAAGGAGTTAAATAGGATTGATTATCATTAGATTATAAAGTCGAAATACCAATATTAGTACTAGCATTAATGATGGAGAAACATTTATTAAAAAGAATAAAATCTTTTCTCGTAATTAACTATACTCGACTTTAATAATTATATAATTGTTTAACTATTTATTTAACAAAATTTCCTATCTTAAAAACCATTTTGCAAGTTGCAATTATCTTTGCAAAATAATCATATATTTATTCCTATAAGTTCAAATATACGTGTTTACTTGTACAAATGTACTTCAAACACAAGTATAGCACCCTAAATTAATATAATATAATAAAAATACAATCCAAGATTAAAAATATCTGCCACAATTCTTTGTAGCTTATTTATTTTAAAATAATAGTCATGAAAAGCTTTATATTCATTTCTATTATAATTATACAGATATGTATCAATATAAAAGTTATATTAGATACAATTTTCACTGATCCATTATTCAATTTTTTTGTTCCTCACCGATCCGAAGTGCAACGGATGGAGTTATCTGCCTGTAACTACGATGATACTATAACACAAAAACATAAATTCAAATTAAAACAGCGTTCAAAATGATCAACATTAAATCAAAAGACAATTTTTATATCGAACTTTTTATTCATCCTTTAATTAAATATTATTTTTCATTCATAATTATATATTTTTCGAAAAAAAATCACAAAACTAAAATTTCAAATAATTTCTTTTTTTTTATTATTATGTTTAAATAAGTTCGTAATAAAACAATTTGAATAAACGAGAGAAAATGACGCTCACCCCAAAGTTGCTCCACCGATGCATGATGCCTCTCCTAGACCTCCTCCTCTTTCCTTCCTTCACAGATTGTCACTCCTCTTCAAGTTGTACATCAACATAATTATAGCATACACGTTATGCAAAAATTTGTTTACGTCGCATGCTCCAACGTGCTCCAACATGCTCCAACATGCTCCAACATGCTCCAACATGCTCTTACAACATAGTTCCTATACTCACGGCCTCACGCTGACAGGCGCGTTGGAGTAAGGACTATAATAGAAACATATTGGAGTATGTTGGAGCATGTTGGAGCATGCGACGCGAACCTTGAAGATTTTGTGCTTCCGTCAGACATCAGTCCCGCCCACAATAATGGCTGCATTCCATCATTTAGGGCTGCATTCAGAAACATCACCCGAGTAGCCCCGCGTATTATCTTTGACTGTGTTCCAAAATTCACTGCCAGCGCTGAAAATTTACAGTTTACGTCACGTACACTATACATTTTCAGCACTGGCAGTGAATTTTGGAACACAGCCTTTGTTGTTCACTCAATGTTAAACAAGGATAAGATGATACGGAGACACCCGGGTGACCCGGGTGATGTTTCCGAACGTAGCCTAAGGTATAGCCACACAACTTGCATAGCCAAAATAAAATTCTCTAAAAAAGAAAATTATCCAATCACATTTTACATGCGTCTTTATAGGAGAAATACGATTGTATAATTTTCTTTATGCATATGTTTATGTGGCTATGCAAGTTATGTGGATAAAGCGGGAAGCACAGACTCTTGCATAACGCATAACACATGAGGCATAAGAAATTGAACCAACTAGAGTTCTCTATTACATGGAAGGGAAAGAAACGGAGAACTTCGATTGGTACATATTCTTATGCATTACGTGTTATGCGTTATGCAAGAGTCTGTGCTCCCCGCTTATACCCTATATTCGGTGAACAACAACGATAAAATGATATACGCACTATGCGTGAAACGGAACGCACTTACAGAGTATCGAGATTCTCAGGTATCGAAACGGCCAAGATGGCGCGAGCTAATCGACTAATCGATGCCTACATGTGCACTGTGCAGGGTTCTGTCAGATTCTGTAAATGTTTGCTTGGCGTACAGATAGCATTAATAATGTATGATTTATCTTTTTAGACATCTTATGTGATTAATACATTTCTTATATAGATGTAAGTGATGTCAATTATACGAATGTATTTTTCTAATTTTCTAGTTTTTTCTTTCTTGAGTAAACAGCTGTATAACCTAAAAATGTATCATTGCATTTTGTAGAGATTACTTGTATTTATATTCCGTTATCATATCTTAAAATTCAACATGAGTGATGAGGAAGAGTCTCTACTTACAGAAAATAAAGCTCGTGTAAGTTCTTTATTTATTTTGTCTGCTTATTTGAACTGATTTTATCCAAGTTATTATTACAAGGAGAGCTTGTATATCTGTATGATCATATGCTCTGGATTGTGTTATGTTTTAGGAACAAATACGAGAGGAATTGAAACATATGAGTTTTGAGGATTTACAGAAGTTAAAGGAGAAATTAGGAACCAAGGTGTACAATGAGACTCTGTTTGGTAAGAAAAGTAAGAAAAAAGCAGAGAAAATAAAGTTTAAACGAGAAAATAAGAACAGGCCACGGGAAATGTCTGCTAAAAAGCCAATTCCAATGAAATATGAAGAGATGACACAAGTCAAAAAAGTTATATCTCGAGATCCTAGATTTGATAGTTTATGTGGTACATTTAACGAAAAGGCCTTCAAGAATTCTTATGCATTTATTAACAAGTTACGGGAAAATGATCTCAAAACTTTGCAAAAAGAACTGAAAGAAACTACAGATCTCAAAGCCATAAAAAAGATAAAATATCTCATCCAGAGGCTTGAAAATCAATTAAGAGAGGAAAGGAAAAAGAAGGAGAAAGAAGAAAAAAAATGGCTTGAGAAGAAGGAACTGATGGAATCTGTTAAACGAGGAGAGAAGCCTGTCTTCAAGAAAAAATGTAAGTTGATTGTTATTGTTAACGTAATTCTGATTTACATTATTTTATTTTATCTGTTTCCTCTGCAGCTGAGAAGAAAGTCTTGGACTTAGTTTCGCAGTATGAAGAATTGAAAAATACAGGAAAACTGAAGAAGCATATTCAAAGACTGCGGAAGAAGAATAAACACAAAGATAGAACAAAATTGGGGGTGGAGGAAACAGAGTGAAACATATCGCTCATTTGTTACAATGACACAACTCAAAAAACAAAGTCCTCCAAAAAATGAGTTTGAATGTTTTGAATCATTAAAATTTTGTAATATTAATTCTGAAATGCAATTTTGATGATGATTGATTATAAAGAAATAAAAGTATATACTTTTAAAGCATGGTTTTTTTTATTGTTTCCATTCTTTTTTGGCAAACAACTGAAAAGTGATATTTTAGTTATATTTTAGCAAATGAGCGATATATATATATATATATGTACATATGCATATTTATACAAAAGAAATGTAAATATAATTGCATGTGAATTTTGTAATCAAGTCGAATTATCAATGAAATACTATTAAAAGCTAGGCGTGTAAATAAATTTTATAATTCTGCCTATAAGACTATTGCCTTAGTAAAGATCTATAGTTAATTCTTAGCTCATTATAAAAGTGTAAACTTCCTTTATTTTACTTATGATTAATTAAGTACTAAGACAGGTCGCAACACCGTCCTTTCATTATTGTCTAATCCTACTTACCGACATTCTTTATTACTATTGACACGACTTATATATATTGAGAAAGCATTTGCGAATCTAAAATAGAACTATACTTTTGCATATTCTTTTATTTTAAGAAGAGTGTGTCTGTTTTGCATTTGCTTGTTAATATTATTGTTAAGTATCTTTATAAAATAAATATAGGTAAATATTCCTCATAATAAGAAAATCTTGCTTAATTTGCAAAGTTATAATTTATACATTTCGTAAATGTAAACAAAACAAGTTATCAATTACAATTAATTAATCATTAATAGTGGATCAAATAAAAAATAACTTCATAAAATGTTAAAAACTTATAAAATAAATAAACTTATAAAATATAGGAATAGAAGATATGTGTCTGTATACATATATATATATATATATAATTACACGCACACATGTACAAGTTTCAATGTGGCATTTCCGATTCCCGTACTTTGTCACACAACTCATTTTAGTTAGCTTTGGTAGCTGTATCTAGATTCAGCATGATACTGAAAACTGTTCACTTCATTCTCTCTTTCTAAGAAGAGAGTTTGTTTAGATCCTTCCGGATCCCTCTTTATTTATCTCAATTTGTTTTGTTTTTCTGATAAGACACATTATGGCATAACCTATTTCGTTAGTGTTAGCAAGAGACAGAGAGGTTAATTGTATAATCATATAAAATTAGTGTTTTATTATGTATTTCAAGATTTAAATACACATGCATACAAATGTGATATTCATATTACTCCTTAATAATTGATTAAGTGCGTTAAATTATTATTTTAACATATCAATTATGTCGTGACTACTTGTATTAGGCAGGAAGAACATTTATATTAAATATATATTCATATGAAAATATATATTAATATATTTTTCTTTGAAAATATATTAAAATATGTTATAAACAAAAAAGATTTAACAATGGCTGAATCGACGCAGGTAATTATCATTTAATATCAAAAATATATCATTCCTTATATTGTTTTATATATTTATAAATATATTGATTTATACAGTTATTTGCTGGGCCTCCACCCATTTGGCCCGATATTAGATCAGAACTGCGAGAATATATTGAATGCCCTGAACGATTACCTATACATCAACTGGACAATACTCAATGTTATTGGCCACGTAAACCAGATGTCCTTTCCTTGCTAGAATTTGATTTAGCTCCCGTTAATACTACGCTTAAATTTGATCGTGATCCAATAACAGGCAAGATCGGTGAGATACAAGAAATTGACTTACAAGGTGCAGGGGAAACGGCAAGAAATTCTATGTCTATGACTCGTGCCCCTGGATTACTTACAGATGGAGTTCGAGGTACTCTAATTTTATCTCAAAATGATATTTCTCTTAATTAAAATTCTAATATATCAAGACATAATTGTAGCATATATTATACCAAATAATATACTTTTCATAGGTAATCCTAGCAATATTCCATTTTGGCCTGGTGGTTTTGAAGAACCTAAAGTGCCTAAAACTGAAAGCATAGATGATATCGACTTTGAGAAAGATTTAAGGACATTAGCCAAAGGATTTAGCTCAGGTTTAGAATTTAAAAGTGACAATTGTACACCAATCAATTGCATGAGATATGAAGTAGAAGCTTCAGTATTAGAAGAAACTGAAAAGTTAATAATCAATAATGATAATATAAATTTAATGGCTGTTGTACACGAGGAGGGAAATTTGCTTGGTTCATGGTCTTCAGTTGAAGAGCCGAAAAAAGAAAGTGTTCAAGCTGTGGATAATAACATTCCCTTTATAGACAATTCCATTTTACCCAAAGAAACAAATATACCTGTCTTGAAAATATCCGAGACACAAATAGAACTTACAAAGGCAGAATGGGCAGAACAGCTGGATGTATCCGCACCAGTAACAGATTTTAACAAGAGAATACCTGATCCAGCAATTACATTCAGTTATGAACTAGACACTTTTCAAAAGCAAGCTATTCTTAAATTGGAAGAGAATAGCAATGTCTTTGTTGCTGCACACACATCAGCAGGAAAAACTACTGTTGCTGAATATGCCATTGCATTGAGCCAAAAGCATATGACAAGGTAAGCCATAAAGCTAAAAATTTACTTTACAATACTATTGTTGTATAAGTATCTAATAGTTATTTTTATATCATTTCAGAGTGATTTATACGTCCCCCATAAAAGCTCTGTCAAATCAGAAATATCGTGATTTTAAGAGAAAATTTGAAAGTGTTGGGTTATTAACAGGTGATTTGCAAATAAATCAAACTGCTTCATGTCTAATCATGACAACAGAGATCTTACAATCAATGTTGTATTGTGCATCCGATGTTTTACGAGATTTAGAATTTGTCATATTTGATGAAGTGCATTATATAAATAATGAAGATGTACGTAATGCTGATTTTATAAAAATATCACGTATAATTTCTATGATTCAACAATCTATATTTGTAAAAATTATATTTCATATTTTTAGAGGGGTCACGTATGGGAAGAAATAGTCATTCTTTTACCACAGAATATTAATATAGTAATGTTATCTGCGACAGTGCCAAATCCAATAATATTCGCGGATTGGGTTGGTCGCATCAAAAAACGAAAAATGTACGTGATTAGCACTTTGAAAAGACCAATACCTCTCTTACATTACCTGTATACTGGCACTGATGGTAAGACTAA